TGAGCATACACTTTTGTACTATTGCAAAGGTAAATTAAAATAATATATGTGTAATACAGCTACTTCTACTTGCTTATACAAACGATAAAAATATTTTATTTTACGCAGTATTATTTATTTTATGTTTGTATATTAGGGGTTTTTATTATAACAAAGCAATTTAAGCAGTTTATAAAATCATTTAATATAAAAAACATCCATTATTAATCTTATATCGAACGTACAAGTAAATTCCACTCTTGCACCACTGTGCCTTGACAGAAGCTCTAGCATTCCATTTTTCATTTTGTTGTTGGWCTGTGAGAGCTGCCCCCGTATACATATGTATGTAGCTGTTCGTAACTGTGTGCGCCGCTTTGGGCTGTTCTTGTAGTCGACGTTCACAAATGTTCATCGTTATATGTATGCCAGTATGCTTGTCTCTCGTTAATGTTGTTCTTGTTGTTTTTGGGCCACTGCTGGCAATGACAGACGACGTTGATGTGAGGCTCTTTGCTGTGGAACCGAACGATGGATGGTACGAAACATTTTTGTATTCCGTTCGTTTTTGTTGTTGTTGCTGTGTTTGCTGCAGCCGCCATATTATTTCTACGCTTGTTAAGTGTTTTTGCCTGCTGTTTCTCTCTTCTCTATTATGCCTTTTATTTGGTTTTTGATTGTGGCCCGTTCATGTGTATGTGTGTGTGAGTGTGTCCGCTGATCCGGCTTCATCTTTGGCTGGACTGTGTGTGTATTGGATTTTTTTTTAATGATTGGACTTTCGTATTTTTTGTATATCTGAACGTAGGTTTTTCTTATTAGTTGGACAGACTCTTCTTCTTACGTCTTATTCAACTGTACAAAAATCCATGCGGAGCATGCGCTCTTTTTTTTTTTTTTTTTTATATGTACGTTTCGAATTATGAACTCGAGACTTGTTGGGTCTGCCTGCGGTTGTTGTTGTTGTTGGTGGTGGTGTTGCTGTCGCTGTTGGCGCTGGTTGGGGGGTCGTTGGCGTTGGCGCCGCAGTGTGAGCGAGCGCACGAGTGTGTGTCCAACGTTTCAGCATGAGCTGGCCTGTGTGTGAGCAGTTCTGCTTGTGTGCGTGTATGTGTGCTTTTGTATATTTTATACAAAAATGACAAATGTATAATCAGCGTAAATTGCTGTGCGCGTGCTTTTTTCACTGGCATCAATTTGGCTTGGTGCGTTCTCGCTCGCGCTCTCTCTCTCTCCCTCTCTCTGTCACTCTATCTCGCTGCTGGCTCACTTGCGCTCATTAGCGCAGCGCGCTCGCTTGTGTGTGGGTATGTGAGTGTGTCGGTGTGTTGTAATTGCCTCACTCTCACACACATATTAGCTCTGGCATTGTTATCGTTAGAATTTCCTTCACCATTTTTGAAAAAAAAAGAACCTTGGAATTATCAACATCTGCATACACACATACATATTTACATATATACACATGCATACGGCCGCCCGACTGGGGTGTCATTCGGGGCGTATAAGATTGCTTTGCGCACGTCTGTATGTGTGAGCGAGTGTGTGTGTTGATTCAACTATCAAAATGGGTTGCTGATTGTTGGGTTCGCTTTGTTTCTGCCTTTGCTTTTGTAATGAAGTCTGAGCTCAGCGCCTAGGCGTGGTCAGCTCAGCGTCAATTCAACCGTTAGTAGCCGAATCAAAAGAAGCTCCGATTTAAAAATAAATCTACAGCAAATACACTTCATGCGTGATTGCATGTGCTTGCGCGTTATTTTCTTAGATATGTATGTATGTATGCTTGTATGCATGCATGCAGCTATGCTGCTTATTAACCTCTCGTATTACAATAGCAATCGACTGATCGATTCACCCTTGTTGCTGTCCTTGCCCAGCTCCTCCTGCGTAGCGCACACACGCAGTCGCTATGCTCGCACGCATGCACATGTGAATGCCCAGGCGCAGTGCTGTACGGTTCTTTCTTGTTCAACATTTTCGTTCGGTTTTGGCGACATTCGTATGCGCTCTTTGTTGGCGTCGATAATGGTGTTTGATGAGCTATGATTATCCTGGGTGTTTGAAGATTGAATAATGGAATGAAGCTAAAAAGTTTTGTTTTTATTTTTTAATTCGATTTAAAAATAAATGAGATGAAAGCTATTTAATTTCTGCCAGCTAACTGTACTATTAATTATTTTTAGATTAAATTAAACTAGGTCATATTAAATAACATACGATATATATATGCATATCAATTTTATTTAGTCGCTGCTAACTAAACATGTTTGTCCTCAATCCCTCTTGAGAATTAATGAAAACCCCATTGAGGAGGCACGAACTGTACCGCTGGCTGGATGCGCTACTGTCTAGGGCAAGGGTAGTTCCTCTGCAGCAGTCACTTTTCTCGACAAAAGGGTTGAACTTTGGCACTTACCACACATACACACGCACACACACACACACGCACAAACATATACACACATAATATCGTCATTGTATCGTCCCTTTTGACCCCGCAACCCTCCT